TGCTAACGTGCCCCCCTGCTAACGTGCCCCTCTGCTCTTCTCAGGGAGGAGATCTTTTCGATGCCATCACCTCCACCAACAAATACACGGAGCGAGACGCTAGTGGGATGCTGTACAACCTGGCCAGTGCAATCAAATACCTGCACAGCCTCAACATCGTCCACCGTGACATAAAGCCGGAGAACCTGCTGGTAAGAGAGATTCCCCTGTTACGGCATCTTGAGTTCGGAGCGCTCAGGAACGAGTACAGATATTTCTTTTTTCTTTTCTTTCTTTCTTTTTAATAACTTGTTTTGCTTTTATTGTTGTGGAAAATACACACAACATAACATACACCAATTCAACAATTCCTACATGTACAATTCAGTAATGTTGATTGCATTCTTTGAGTTGTGCGACCATTCTCACCTTCCTTTTTCCAAATTGTTCCCCCCCCTCATTAACATAAACTCACCGCCCCTAAGATTCCTATCTAATCTTTCAAGTTGCTCTTGTGAGTTTGATCCCGTATAAATAGTTCTTTTAAAAGAGCACAGTGCTCAGGGCATACATTCTCTACTAAGCTAACTATTGTTTGGTTTAAGGAAGACTTCAGGGGATATTTTTGTTTAAGGTTTAAAAATTATTTCAGGGCAAATGTAGAACAAAATTCTAACTCACAAAACAAACTAGACTTACTGGTCTGACAGAGACTGGAGAAACCCCAAGAGTATGGCCCCAGATACCCTTTTAAGTCAGTAATGAAGTCACTGCTGGGGTTCACCCTTCAGCCAAAGATCAGACAGCCCATAAAACAAAACAAGACTAAATGGGCACACCAGCCCAGGGGCAAGAACGAGAAGGCAGGAGGGGACAGGAAAGCTGGTAATGGGGAACCCAAGGTAGAGAAGGGGAGAATGTTGACATGTCATGGGGTTGGCAACTAATGTCACAAAGCAATCTGTGTATTTATTGTTTAATGAGAAATTAATTTGCTCTGTAAACCTTCATCTAAAGTACAATTAAAAAAATTATTTAAGGGCAATAATTTCAGGGGCTCATCCATCCTCAATGGCTCCAAAAAGTCTGGATTCCATCATAATTTGAAATTCTGTTCTGCATATTCCCCCTTTTGATCAGGATTCTTCTATAGAATCTTTCTTTTTAACCATTTTATCTTCACGGCAAGTTCCCAGCTGGCCTTTTCTGTCTAGCTGGAAATTAGCCTCTTATGTTAATCTGTAAGAGTTAGCTGCCGTTAAGACCACCGAACTTAGTAGCAAATAAAAACCAGGCATGGGGGTGGGTAACAGAGCTCAGGGTTGTGGTTAATGCCTTAGGCTAGGACAAGAGAGGGGCTGGGGCATTTGCACATATGTTACTTATCTGTAGCATTTGTATGCTACAAAGTTGTTACTTGGGAAAAATAGAAAAGCCATTTTAGAATTTCTTACTCTCCCAACTTTACATCTCAGTAATAGAATCTAGGGAGTCCCTGCATGGAGCAAATGGTTAACACGCTCGGCTGCTAACCAAATGTTGGAGGTTTAAGTCCACCCAGAAGTGCCTCAGAAGAAAGGGCTGGCAAAGCCATTGAAAACCCTATGGAGCACAGTTCTGCTGTAACACACATGGGGTGTCCATGAATTGGGATCAACGCAACTGCAACTGGTGATATGGTCTATAATCCAAGAAAAGTAAATCACAGTGGGCTTTAAAGACATCAGCCCCCCACCCCAGCATAAAAATAATCTTGAAGAAGAACGAATAAAGAGCCAGAGACATTCCTTTTACGATGACTTGGTTTGCTTTTCATGAACTCCATATCCCTGGGGAAACATTGAGAGTTCTCCACACGCAAATGGGGTCCCCCCCAGCCCATGAATTAATGGGGACAGTGTAGACTGAGGAAGAACTGAGGAAGCTGAGAACGCCGGGGGGGAGCCGTCACTGGTAGGTAGGGGAGTAACATAAATTTTGCTGGTTGTTCAGGCTGGAATTCCAATAAAATCTATTTAATTTCTTCCCCAAAGATGTAGCAATTCATTAACTCTAAGCATCCTGTATTAAATGGGACCCCAGCTCTCCTGCTGGTTTGCCCATCCCTCCAGAAACCCAGGAAGTGAGGCTTTTCTTTCTAAAGCATCCCTACTCCAAGTGTGGTCCACACACTCCCTGCATCAGAATTACTCCCAGATGCCTGTTAAAAATGTGAACCAGTGGGCCCCCCTCCAGCTCTCCCGAGTCCGAATCTGGTAACAGGGCAGAGAAACCTGCAGTGCAGCAAACGCACCCCCTGCCCACCCACCCGGGGATTCCAGTGTGCGCTCAAGCTCCAAAGCAGATGAGCAGCCCAGTTCCCGCTGCACACATAGACTCTGATCCTGTCCGCTGTTACCCAGAACCGTCTCTGTGCCTGGCCCCCTTGAGTCCTCACAATAACCGTATGGGTAAAAGGAGCCCTGGTGGCACAACGGTTAAGTGAAAGGTCCGTGGTTCAAACCCACCCAGTGACTCTGTGGGAGAAAGACCTGATGGTCTGCTCCCTTAAAGATTACAGCCTAGAAAACCCTATGGAGCAGTTCTGCTGTGTCCCATGAGGTGGCCATAGTCAGATTCGACTCCATGGCACCCAATAACAAGTTCTAGTCCTGCGCCATTTCACAGATAAGGAAACGGGAGTACCTAGGAGGTAAATGCCCCACCGAAGCCTAAATGACTGTCAGTGGAAGAGCTAAGAGTTCTAAGAAGTTCCCAGGTGATGCTAACACTGCTGGTCAGGGACCAGTTCTGAGAACCACCGGTAGAGTAGTTGGTCTCAAAACTTATTATACATAAGAATCACCTGCGGATCTTGTTACAGTGTAGATTCTGATTCAGTATACCTGGGGTGGAAATGCAAATTCTCAGCAGGGGTCGAACTGGGAGGAACTGGTTCAAAGCCCTGATCTCAACCCAGTTCTGACCTACTCCAAACCCAAGCTCCGAACCGCCGTTGTTAGGCACCGTCAGGTCGGTCCTGACTCTTAGGGATGCTGTGTACAACAGAAGGAAACACTCCCTGGTCCTGCGCCATCCTCACAGTCCTTGGTATGCTTGAGCCCATTGTTGCAGCCACTGTGTCAATCCATCTCAGTGAGGATCTTCCACTAGACTACGTAAAACTCTGAATTAGGGACAGAGGTTTGTCGAGGGCTTGCCGTGTGCCAGGTACCATACCAGGGAACAAGAAAGTCATGTGACTTCATGGAGTCAACATTCGAGCAGGGAAGCTGGGCATTCGGGAAGTAAATACACAAGCAAGTATTAGTTCATTGCAATTATGTTAGCAGTCTCGGGGCTGCCGGCTGGTGAAGGCAGCTGAGGTCAAATGACCAGGCTCTGACTTAATTACCCTCAAATTCCACATCCCGGCAGCAGCCTAAACATTCTCTTCTGCCTAGTTGCCCCCATAAATGGCAGCAATTTTCTCTCTTCTGCAGTCATTATTCTTGCATCCGGAATTCTGTAGGATGGTGTCACGGGAACAGGCTTACAGCTGGACCTTTGTTTAAAATCTCCCCTAGGCTCTGAAAATCAATCCAGTGATTGAAAATTAAAGTTCCGTTCCCGGTCGGCAGCCCCGTGTTGTGTGCCTCTTCAGTGGCTGTTCGCCAGCGTCTGTTCCTGCAGGCGGCTCGGACAGTTACCTAGAGGTGCACTTCCACTGCAATTACCGTTTGCAGGACGCTTGTCCAGTACTGTGCTCACTTGAACATATTGCACTTGAATTACCCTAAAAGAAAAAAAATGTTCTTTCTTTCCCTTTTCCCTTTCTTCTCTAATTTGAGAATGTGAGATATATGTATATGTATAAAGCAAACCCGTTGCCGTTGAGATGATTCCGACTGTAAGCAACTCTAGAGGGCAGAGTAGAACTGCCCCATAGGGTTTCCAAGGAGCAGCTGCTGGATGCAAACTGCTGACCTTTTGACCACCAAGGCTGCACGTGTATATATATATATATATCTCCTCGTTTGCTTGTGTGCGGAACACTCAGTGTTTCCCCAGAGATACAGAGCTTATGAAAAGTAAACCGATATTCTGAAAAGAATATCTCTAGTTTCGTAATCATCCTTCTTCATGATCATTATCATCCTTGTTTATTTATGTATTTATGGAGCCCTCGTGCACAATGGTTAAGTTCTTGGCTGCCAACTGAAAGGTTGGTGGTTTGAACCTACCAGCAGCTCTGTGGGAGAAAAGACCTGGGAATCCGCTCCCATAAAGAAGATTACAGCCTAGAAAACTCTATAAGGTAGTTCTACTTTGTCATATAGGATCACTATGAATCAGAATCAGCTTGAGAGCACACAGCAGCATATGCATAGACACACATATGTAGAAAGAGAGAGCGAGTGAGAGAATCAGAATCGACGCAACAGCACACAACAAATATACCATTGCATTCATTCATAATTTAGGTTTAAAATATCTATACAAAAACCTAAAGGAATTCAATTTCTCCATTATAGCAATTTCCTTGTACTTGGGAGGAACAGGTGGCAGATGGTGTATTCTGCAGGAGGAAATCTGTTATAGGATGAAATAGGTAGGGTGGAATAAATGGAACAAAATTGGGATGGCATTGCTAATTGCAGGTGAGACTTCTGTTAATTTCACATTCTGTTAAACTTTCTATGGAAATTCAATCTCGTGGCAAAATGTAGAAATAGACTATTTTTGAAAAATACTATGATAAAATTAATATAAGGATTTGAATTCATTTTCTTACTACAGGAAGACATATTGAATAAATTAAAAACCACCATTTTATACTTTGCTGTTTTATTTAGAGACCTCAAAATAATCTTCTAAATTGTTACACTGATATCAAAATTTTTGCTAATTAAATGTTTGATTGAAGTTTGTTTTACCTAGCAAAGTATTACCTCCTCTCCTCTCTTATAGACATGGTTACTTTCCAAAGACTAGGTTGTTTATGTGAATTGGGTTATGCAAAAATGGAGGATACTACATCAGATCACAAAATGGCGGATGACTACATCATTCCATAACTGCCAAATTACATCATTACATCACTGAGAATCACGGCCCAGCCAAGTTGACACATAACCCTAACTATCACAACCAGCATTACTCTCGCCTCGCACCTCAGCATTCGTTACTGTCAGATGTACATTGTTAACGCACAAAATAGACAGTAGATTTT